ATGCGAAAAATGTATTTCACTTCCTGTTTACATTGTGTTGAATTGAATCGCTTCAAAGTGTGGGTATTTTGTGTAAAAAGGCTGTTTGATTCGGCAATCCTTCATGGTTGCTTATGGCTTACATATGTGTCATAAGCGACTTCATGTGCATATTTGAATGTGCCTGCCATGCTGGAGCTTTATGTCAATACGATGAGATGTGCTGATGTTTATGTTAAACTTTTCATCGTTGGATTTTGAATGGCAAATATGGTAGTTTGAAAAACAACGTCAACACACCAACGAACAACATACAGTTCAAAATTCAAACAATTGAATTAATTACGACAAATATATGCAAACTTTTTGTAAACTACGCAGTGTGTTTTCATTTGCATTTTCATGACCTTTTCAATTGCGTCGAGATTTTCCACAGATCCGAATTTTGACCGATGTAAATATTATACGATGTAAGAGAGTGTTTTTGCGACGGATGTAACTTGTTTCTATTGCAAAAGTTCTATATTAACCAAATACTTCCCTTATACTTAATTTTAAAATGAATATTTAATTTACACACATTCTACCACATCCAATAGAGTGTGTGTGTGTGTGCAAAATGATGATGTATCACGAGATGCTCGACACACAACTTCACTTTAACATTCTCAAAAATGAAACCAAATGAATGTATTATTTCAGAATCATATCCTATCTGAACGAAAATGGGAATGAGTGTGTCATTGCGAACGAACAAAGCGTAGAAAAGTGCGTTGTACGGAGCTGAAAAGAAAAGGGAAAAATATTATTTTCGCTTGCTTCAACATGCGAAAAACAGTCTTCGTATTCATGAAAGAGAAAGTAAAAAAAGAACGGTTTTCTCGCCATTGTTATCAACATGTGAAACCAGATAAATGAATGTTGTACGCATTCACATATATTTACAATTCATTTTTGTACGTCAAAAACTGATTGTGAATTGAGAGAAAAACGACACACAATAATATATACGATGAATAAAATATGTGAGTACTTGAATGGAAATGAATCAGCTTGCAGTGAATGAATGTTATTACTCTTTCACACTATTTTCATCAGAGACTATTTGTCAGAGCAGCACTCTGAGAAACGAGAGCACTGAGAAGCAAAGCTCCTCCACAGTCGAGATCAAAATATTAAAATCATGTTGGTTTGTTAACCAGAGATCTCATCATAGCTCCGACCTGAACGTACAAAAGACGACCGCCCGAGTTCAATCCGAAAAAAATTAAGGTCGAGCGTGATTTGGGCCAGATACTTTTAGGGTGTTTGGATTTGGTGCAGGGAAGAATCACACAAAAAACGAAAGTCCTTCAGAAGAAGAAGAACCAGCAGCGCCAAAACGCACTCCATCCCCATGAGAAATAGTCTCTGTTTTCCATTTCAATTACCGCACACACATCAATTCTTTTTGATTGCCCAACAATACTATCATTCTATTGCCAAATCTTTTTCTAATTCGCTTTGGTTATTGCGCAGCGCTATTTCTCCTCTTTATTTTTCTCACACCCTCTCTATCTATCTTTTCGTTTCCATCTCAATAATTTTGGTCTTCTGAATCGTCCTTTTTACCCTTGCATCTCTGTGGAGTTTTCGATGCATTGCCAAATCTGATCATTTTTCGGGTTGGTTTTTTTATGCACGATAGCACGCTGAATTGACATTTCGTTTTTCATTTTATGTTCGTCATTACGGTATAACTATATTTTCCTATCTCAATTCAGCACTCTCTCCATTTCTATCTCTATTAATAGAGTTATTTATTTTCTACTGGGTTCTCATTTGGTTCGTGTCATTTTACCCGTGTTCTCTTTCTCTCTCTTCTACCACTTCACCAGGGATGGCATGATCTCCGTTCTTACATCACAAATACAACCCACTTCAATCATTTAACTTTTGTCATTTCATTCTCATCGTTTGAACACATAAAACCTTTGTCAACCGTTCCAAAATGCATTCGGCAGCACGTAAAATGAATATGATCTTTAGGTCAATGTGTACAAAATTGTGCAATTTTGTTAGATAGCATAAATCACATTAAAAATGTTCCACAGACTTCAATGGAAATCTATTCATTGTTGTTCATTACATTAGTCAAATTGTGTCAAGCTTTTCTGTGTATTTCCTTCAAAAAAATGTACATGTTTGTTACCGAATTCAAAATGAAATGATATGAGATCGGAATGACTATATACAATGAAAAAAAGAGTATATTTGCATGTTTTCCACACACCCATCAACTGTGAAATCTCGAATTTTTCCATTTGAATTTTCTGTGAAACCATTGACACGTGCCAAAATTTGCAATTTTTTTTTATCATTTTGATGTGTTATCGCTTTCGATTCAATCATATAATAAATATTAAAAATGGTTGAAATGTTTTATGTTTGAAAATGTGTGTGTGATGTGACATGCATCCATTTTATTTAGATGAATTTCATGTCGTCACACATCGGTAACGACGCAACGATAAAAGATCATGATTTATGAATGCACATCGACAAGATTATTTGCGTGCCTTTCCATTTAGCAAATTGAAAAATTTCCAAAAAAAATCAGCCACAAACCGGTGCAAAAACGAACGAATGGAAGTAAAAAAAAGCATTTTCACACACGACGAAACTGTTACCACATAAATCTTTTACAAAGCAATGGCATGGATTGTGAGCATTTTTTTGTGCTAATATTTTATTGGAATGGAATATTTTTCTCTGTGTCTCGGCAAGAGCGTGTGTACAGAAAACGAAACTCAAACTGATGGTGCAACTTTCGAAACGATACACGGATTATGAGGTTATATCAGTTTATTTAAAATCTCATCTGGAACACAAATGCCAAAGGATTCGGAGACTGAGTGGCCATTTATAGTATAGTGCACCATGTCACCATCAACCGTTCTTATCTATCCATGTTATAAAGTTGACTCCGATTCGATTTTCTAAATACGAAAAGCCACCATGATGGAACAAGAAAAAAGAAGCACCGATGGAAAATCGAAAAAAAAAACCATTAAATGCAACATTCCGTGATAAAGTGAGAGAGTTTTTTTTATATAAAATCGTTTCGTTTTTGCAAACAGTTGTTGCTGATTGCGTGTATTTAAATATATATATATTTGTTTGTTTGGAAGTCGAATAAGTCGAGAAATGAATGTGTTTCATCTCCGTTCCCGTTACACAGTTCTTTCGGCCCCACCTCAATTCAAACGGTCTCAAGTCGACGTCTTTTAAAAACTTTATTCGACAATCTTAAGATCGTTTTCCCCCTCTTTCCCTCTCCCTCTCTGTCTCTTGCAGTCCAACTTGTACGTGTTAATACAGATATCGGTATGGCATTCGAAGTGTTGATTTTGAAGTCATCTGGTTCATTTTAAATTGCATGAATCGAAACAGAAAGTGTTTTTTCAATTGAAACGTGAATATAAAAAGAATGTGAAATAAAAGAGATAACGTGAAGCGAATGTGTCTGTGTGCTTGTGTGAGTAAGAAAAAATAAACTGAAGAATTACAATCATCAAATGGAACTGAACGGAACTGTAAATGAGCCAAAGCGACTCGGAGTGCCAAGAAATGCAATTTTGCCATTTTATCGGTATACATTGGTCTCATATCTAAATAGATGTTTTACATGTAATCTGCATACGCATTTTACTGCAAATGTACACATTTAAGGCGAAAAAAAGAGTGCACGTAGAGAGAGTACGATTAAGAAGTTTTTTTTTTGTACAAAACCGAACGTCACTTTCAACAATGATTAGTATATGGCGCGTATTTAGCAGTTAAACTGCGACAAAAAGTGGTTGGGTTCAGCATCGAATCAGACATACGCTCACTGATGCACATTTAATCGATATGTATTTCCATGTGGAATTGCAATTTCGAGTAAATTAGATTTAATGCACTTGTGTCGCCGGGGCAACGTGTATTTTTACTCCTCTCTGTGTTCTTCTAAACGATGTGAATAAGGTCAGATTTTGAAGCAAAATGAAATACATTACTTTTACAAAATTGTCGTCTGTTCGTTTGTTAGAAATGAATTTTGGTGTTTGTGCACATGGTTCTTTTTTCTGTTCGATTTTAAGCTATTTTCTCTCTTTTTCTCTCTGTTTCACGAAAAAAAAAAAAGATTTGTAAAGTGGATGCTTGAGCGTAAGTATCTTTGTGTTGCACATGGTGCTCTACAAAAGCGAAACACTCATCACACCACAATTCATGTATATTTTGTATAAGAATAAAAATTGTTGCTTGTGCCTTTTTCCATCCATTTACTTACATTTTCATTAATGAATTCGGTCTGTGGGCAAAACAGCAGCGGCAGCAACAACAAAAATTATCGTCAAAGTTGTTTGAATCGTAGCATATCGCTTTAAATTGTTCGCTTAATTTAAACATTTTGCTCGTACTTTAGTTTTTGTTTTGTACATTCGTTCGTGCTGAAAAATGTATGTTTATTGCTAGTGTCCCATTCGGTTTGGTCCGACGCGCTCTGAATGAGAGTGGTTTCTTTTTTCTTCCTCTTCTAATGCTAGAGCTAAAAACCGTTTTGTAAATTGAATTGGGTTTTTTATATTGGCACACGAGCGCCCATACATAAACATGTGACCGACGTTATTTCCGCTGGAAATGATACTAACAAGACATCGTTGGTTTGTATTGCAAATGTTGTTATCACCCGTATTTTTTTTTGTTGTTGTTCAGCAGCAAGTTGTACATTCAAAAACGCACCAATTCAATTGCATCGTATGGCATTGACTTACGCTAATCACCTATTCACACCACACAATTTTATATCTATATAAATAAATTTTTTAACACATATATAAACACTCAAGTGATTGTCCAAACAATTTGATTTTTTTGTCTCAGCAAATTTATGTATATTCAAAATAAAAGCACATGTTCGATTTTGATCGCAATTTGATGTGAATTTACATTTTTAAAAAAATGAACTACATTTTGTATGTGTGTGTATCTATTTGCAGCATGTCCACAATGGATGGCAAACAGACGAACCATCAAATGTAATCGCGGATCGTTGCAGTCGGAGTCGCATCAATTCTGCCATTTTTGTTTCTTCCGAAGGTCGAGGATTTGACTCAATCGAATTTTTACGAAGGCATGGATCGCAAAGTGTACTGTGTCGCAAAGCGCGCAGCGCTGAAAATATCACCGATGAAGATCGAAAGGTTTGTATGCAGTTCTTTTTTTTTTAATTGGAAACAAAATGATAAATAATCAAAATGTATTCCTTTCGGTACTGTTTCGAAGTGTGACACTTAATGGACGCTGATTTAAAACCAATGAGAATGAAGTGGATATTGAGGAGACTATTTTCTCTTCAGTGAAGAGTAAAAAGAAGATTTTTAAATATCCATAGTTCAACTCTCTATAGTTTTATGTATCGCCCAATCCTCAAATGATTTTTTTCACGCATTTTTTTTAAATAAGCTTTTCAAATTTGTCAAAGTTTGGCACAAAATTGAAGCTCAAAATGAGAATAAATTGGCGGCAGTTCGAAATTTTGAACTTTAAATAGTTTTTGCTTAGCTGAATGACGTGACGCTCACATGAATTTTTCCAAATTTTCTTCGAAACCCATTGAAAGCAAAAACTATTTAAGGTTCAAAATTTCGAAACATATCCAAAGTTGAAATGTGTAGTTCAGTTCCAGTTTGTCATGCAAAATTTATTGATTTTCAAAGTTTTATCATAATAATATTTGACTAACATTATTGTTTTGTTGTTTTTGTTTCTACAGCGTCGTTTCTCCGAAAATCGTGAATGGGAGAATGATGAGAATCGAATGTTACGCGAAACAATCGAATTGGAAGTGGAGTGTCATAATGATGGTGATCTATCGCAAATTGAAGCCATTACAAGCATGACACCGTTGACGTCGGCCGGCGGCGGTGGCGGCAGCGTCGGTGGCGGCAGCGTCGGTGGCGTTGGCGTCAGTGGTGTGACCGCATTGGCGACCACAAGTGCAGCTGCCATGAGCCAAATAACAGCAAATACAGCATCGGCAACGGCGGCCTCCGTATCAACATCGCATTCAATTCAACAGCAACAGCAGCCAATATTACAGCAGCCACAGCTAAAGCATCCAGCACCCAAATTAACCAATTTGCCAACGTTATCAATATCGGGACCTCATTATGAAACCGATGAAATTTTGTAACATTCAAATTGGTGTGAGCTTTTAGTGTAGATATGCATATATATGTAAACAAATAAAGAAAAAAAGAAAAACAAATATAAAATGCATATACATACACGAACCGATTTTATCGAAATCAATAACAATATGCAATTGAAAATGAACTCTTCCCCCTCCCCCTCCTTCAGCTCCCCACAAAATTCTTCTCTCAATTTTTCATTTTCCATTCGTTTGGCGACGGTGGTGTGTGCACCGAAAATGATATGTGTGCCACAAACACACACTGAAAAATAGATACTGAATTAATTATTATAATTTCGGAAAAAGTTTTTATTATTATTGTCGCTCCCTCCTTCTGACTTCCCTTAAACGCAATCTGATCAAATGTAAAATTCGCGAAATTCCTTCAACCATTGTAGTGCAAATGCACGCTCGCATTTCTAAGATTGCACCGAAAAAAAAGAACGAAACAATATCGTTTTCTTCGATTCATTTCGCTATCTATACCCTTCTGAATTAACAGACTATATAGTTTTTACACAAACTTATTTCTCAGAAAGTAATATGTTAGACGAAAATGTGTGAAGCAATTCGCTCATTTGTACATATATAAGTTTAACTAATTATAAATGTAACACAGACAGCAACACTTTCAGTAAATTTATATAAACGTAACATTATTCGTACGTAAACGTGTTTAAAATGAAACATTAAATATGTATAATTTTTAAATCAATACCAATTTAAATTGTAATACAGCCAATTGAAATTCAAATGATGAACAATTATGTCCTCGGAAATGAATATAAAACAATGTATATTGTGTGTATTTTGATGAATGTACGCCCAAAAAATAAAAGCTCACATCAATGTAAAAATAAAATGATACTAAAACAAATAAAATTTCTTAGACTTAAAACAAAGATTCAAATCAGCTAGTACGCGGATACGAAATGCTGAATAAAAATACAAAACGATGATTGCCGAGAAATAAAGTTGCCACAAGAGTTTCGATAGCATCAATTTAATCGATTACCTTCCGCCCTCCGAGAGATTAGAACGCTTGAAAATGCTTCCGAAATTCTTGTTTGCATACAACGCAAAATGCAGCTAATTTATTGGTACACACACACACATCGATGATAGACAAAATGCCGAACAAATTTAAGATCGATTCAGTTTCGGTGTAACTTTACATTTTTATAGTCATTATAGTGCGCACCGAATCTAAAAAAAAAGTCATTACTTTCGGACAAAACATGAAAAAAAGCAACAACCAAAAATGAAATGAAATCGTGTCCTTTCACGCAACCATCGACTATTTACTCCACATTCATTTTCCTTACATAAACACCTACTATCGTTCTTTCTGTCATCACACACACACACTGTCTCTCCCATTCTCACGCAATTTACATCTTAAATGAGTTTGTCAACAAAGTGTTCCACGAACAAATTGTGTGTTCACACAATGCAGATGAAGAACAATAAACTCACAATTTCCACTACATTTTCATTTGTTTGTGTGTCCAATTTATTCTTCATTACACACACATTTTATAAGTAGTAACATAAGGAATCATTCGTTTTTTTTTTTCATCAGCTGAACACAGAGACGACATAAAAATTGCAACCATTAAAATGCAATCGAATGAGTCAAAAAATCAGTTAAATTCTTTTGTTGGACCCTTTTTTCGATCTATTTCGTTCATTCTCTTTTTTATGGGATATTGCGGTGACGACGAGAAAGAAAAAACGAATGTCGCACACTGTAAAACCGATGAGTTTTATTGTGCATTTGTCACGTTCACTAAACAATTTCGCGATGAACGCATCGAAATTTTACGATGTCATAAAATAAATGTAGTGCAGCATTGCTCAATGAAAAAAAAAACACACACACATACAAATTAATACACACACTTGAGCATAGAATGAGAATTTCGATTATGTGAAAAGAGAAAATAACATGCACACATGCATATATATAGAAAAAAGTGAGTGTGTCACATAAAATTTTTCGGGACAAGGACTCAAAATCACTTTAATTAAGTTGATGACCGTAACTAAATGGAGACCAATTCGATTATCACATGATTGCAAAACCGCAATCGTCCACATATTGCTTTTGATACAGTGCGCGAAATGGTTTTTTCTCCTCTTTTTTTTTCATTTGGTACATGTGGACGGTCAAATTTTGGAATCGCTTTCATATGCAGCAATGCACTTTTTGCTTGGACTAAAACTGGTTCAATCATGATACAAATTTGAACAACTTGAACCAACACATTGATTGAATCATAATGATTAAGAAATTTTAGTATACGGGAAAATCGAACGAGAGCAATTTACTAGCGGAATTTATGATTATTCTTAATGAAATTTCTATGTACGTGCTGCTCCTGGTGTCGTTTCAACTGCACATTTCAATGAATATAGCTTTAATTCTTAAGACAATATTAAACTCGCAATTAGACCAATATTTTGATAAAATAAATACAGAAACGAGCGATACACACACACATGCCATTGACTGAAACATGATGATTTGAAATGTATTCAGTGTCAGACAGAATGAGCAGGTACTTTAAGCCCATTTCTTTTTTATGGACTTGAGACGCTTATAAACATCGTAGAGCGAAAAAAAATTGGGTCTACCGAGGAGTCCTATTTTAGGCCATGCTGCAACGATCAATTGGAAATTAGAGAAAAAAAAAACAATATTTCAAGATATAAACCATGGCGCTGAAAATGCTCAGGCTGATAAATGCAAAATAGACAAATCTTTGAACATTTTCATTTTGCGGGACGGAACAACTAAATATTCCCTCCAAATATCGTTGAATCTCTCAACAAAAATTTAACAAGTTTTTTTGTTTATGCTGGTAACGTGTGACCATACGCACATATATACAACAAAATAATCGAACGATATTAAGACACGCTGATTTTTTTCTTTTCTATTCGTATTTAAAATGAATTTCGTTTGATCAAATGTCGATATTTCAAGAGAGCATTGTATGATTTTTGCTTATAATTTCCGAAGGAAAAAAACGTTCTCTTTTTTTTCTTATCATAAAACCGATTGAATCATGAAGTCAGCCTGAAGGCACATAAATTAAAGCGGTCCATTATGATTTTTTCTCTCTTTTCTCGGTAAGATTGCACTCGAATGAAACTTGCTGTCGAATTTGGAAAACTATAATTAACTACTTAAAGTATTGTTGTCGTCCCCATGCCTCCTCCGAGTCAAATGTTCAGAGTTGATCGAAGAAAAAATGACGAGGGGGCATACATCGTAACGAAGAACGAGGGGAAGAGATGTGGATGATTACAATAATTCTTATATTTAAAAAAAAAACCACTCGAATATGAGCAGAACAACTTACTACATGCCTTAGATGATCCATTTCACCAATAGAATATTTCCTCAACTATTTTATCCCTTTTATTGTACTTTTCTATTAATGATTAAATAATGAAAGATACACTTACATATAGAGTGTATACAATGCGTTTAAGGTGTAATTTAAAATTATGTATTAATAATTTCGATCTTAAATTTAAAAAGAAAAGTCACTTTGTTCTGCTTCAAAACAAATTAATTATAAAACAAAACACCGAAAGAAATTATGACCACTGACACGTCAACTGCGATTTAAATATCATTTGATCGCGTTTTTATCAATAGGAACGAAGATTCGCTGTTTTTTTTTTAAATAAATTCACAAAATTCGTTTGGATAAGAATGAAGCAAATGGGCAAAGGTAATGAAATGAAAGAGAGTTGAAAAAAGAAAACACAAAGCGAAATGAATAAAAAAAAACTATATACATTTTATTGTAGTTAATAAGATCATCAATGGTTTATAACGGTAACCACATATCACTCTTTTAGGCTATTCGAATATATTTAGGAACCAAAATTTGTAAAGCAAAAATTACGCGCAGTTTATTGAAAACAGTCCATATACCAAACGAATTCCCATAGTGCGATTCATTCAATATATTTAGGTTTTTTTAGTTAATTTAAAGATTCGCAGTTTATCATGTGACATATCTTCGATATGCACACTTGAATAATTCATTTAATATTTTGAAATGTCATCATTTTATCGATTAGTCATAGTCATTTGAAAATTTTATTATTTAATCGCATCAACATTTACCACAAAAAATGATACACACACAAAGCAAACACAAACGAAAAATGGTAGCCAAAAGAGTTGAAAAGCCGATTTTCCTTGCGGAAAGTACAAAGTAGAGACAACACCGCCAATATTTAAGTATATTTTTATATGTGGATAGAAGTTTGTTACGACCAATTTTTGTCCGTTTGGTGCCGATTCATTTTAACTCAATCTCACATCTTTATTTCATCGTTTTGTCTTCTTCCTCCTATTCTTTGGTCATCAAATAAAGAAAATCAAACGAATTTTCTTAAAAATATTTTCAGTTGATTAAAATTGGAGTGGAGTCTATCGAAAAATGGACGATATCAAATTAAATTTTCTGGAGATTGAAGGGAGTCCACTATTCAAAACAGCTGATGTCATCGCTGTTTTTTTTTTAATATAAAAGATCTTTGGCCATTTACCCTGGAACACCAATCCAACTATATTGGACTATGCGCACATAAATTGGTCCTAACAAAAACAACACCAAAAATCAATAAGAGTAAATAAAACAATTTTTTCAATTTTGTGAATTGACTGAATGAAATGGACACTTCAAAAAATGCCGAAGAAGAAAGAGAAATGACGAACCAATATTCGACATAATAATTTATCTTCATTGAAATGTTCTGGTTTTGGGTCATTTGAAATAAATTCGTTTTCGGTTAAATCCATTTTAAGTTGCCCATTACGTTGCGAACCCTTTTTTTTGTTACAACTCAATTTTCTCAATTTTTGAAGCGAGTCCAACAAAATGCAGACAAATCACACATTGAATATCATATATATATATTTGTTATTGAGATAAAGAGAGAAATGAAAGCGAGTCAAACAATGGAAATGTGTTTGCTTTTGGCTTATGGCGGTGGTATTTTATCATAATTAAGAATATATACATATGTAATGAAAATTGATGTGGACCGAATCGAAAACATATTATATTATACAATAAATATATATATACAGAAAATGGCAAAAGTTGCCATGCGGTGCGGGTCCAACGGTGTCACTTTGTAGTAAAATTTGATTAAGAACCGAACAAATAACATATTTCAATTATACTTATGAGCGTTCAAGAACTGTTTGAACACCATTTCAACATGATATGATATGACGATAAATTACAGCATTTTTCAATTTTTGTTCCTTTTCATTTTTCATTGGCAAATTGAGAAAATTGCAATAAGCACGATCACACCGCAATGGGAGTCGCTCACTTTTCAAGCATTAGTGAATATAGCAAATGTCCAACGATTTTTCTGCACACAATTATTTTCGATATTTTGACTGAGCCACTTCTCATGTCACCGAGGAAGAATATTGTGAATCTGCTTCGCTGTGAAATGTCAAATATATGAACGATGTGCAGGTGACGCTTAAGTGTATGGTCCTATGTTATGTGCACAAACGCATTTACTACGTTTGACACTTCACAATGAGGCTGACTGCCGATTTTTGCCATTTTTTTGAGAGCTGATGCAGTTTTTTCCAATTCAGCGCTGATACTCTGATTTTTTTTTTATCTTTTTCACGCCAACCAAATTGCGTTCCTCACTTAAGTAACAAAAATTAAAATTTGGTCGCCAGTTTTTATTTTTATGGTGAAGCAAAACATAAATTGATTTGAATTAAATTAAAAGAAATTTAAATAAAACCAGAAAATGTAAGAATAAAATAAAATAAGAAAAAAGAAACTTAGATGTAGGAAATGTGACGAAAACACAAACAGAAAAACAAATAGAAGGCATACACTGCCGTTAGAAAGTTTGAAACCAACCACATATTTTTCATACAAATTGACAATTTTTTTGGAGTTTCACATTTATGGAGACTAAATCTGAAAGTTTCACCAAAAAATATCTACGAGTTTAAAAAATATACCCGTTTGAATCTGATGTGTGAAAATTGGCAGATTTTGTATGAAAAAAAGCCAATGTATTAATAAATTTCAAAAGAATCGTCAATTTGTATGAAATTATATGAAAAATATGTGGTTGGTCTCAAACTTTCCGACGACAGTGTATGATGTGAGGAGATTTAATTATTAAGATGTGTATGATATCTATTCTACGACTTCGGCCTTAGCTTTAACATGAAAGGGAATGAAAGACCACTGATATATATTCCAAACCAAAAAAAAAGAAACTATATGTTGAGAAACAAAAAAAAAACTAAAAGAAAAAACGATACGTTGTCTATTTCAAATGTTGATCGAAATATGATTAGTAAAAAATGAACGTACCAGAGAATGGGTGTGAGACTTGATGAAGTTCTTCATAAGAAAATGTACAGCTATGTTGTATTTGTCAAGTCACACCCTCATTTTTCTGCCTTCAAATATATATATACATGTTTGATTTAAAATAGAGAAGAGAGCAATTAATAAATGATAAACAAACAAAAGAAAATAAAAAAAAATGGAGGAAAATCAGTGTGATCATCGATGCATTTCACTTTCAGTATCAAATCTAATAAAACTAAGCACATTTTAATATCGTCTATTTATACATAATAAGTATATACTATGAAAAAACAGAACATCGCATTGGTGTATGTGTATGTGGCGTGAACAACAATGTTCCGCATATTCATTTGTTATATCATTTAAAACACACACACACTCACACAAAACCGAACATTTAATTTGATTGTTGGTTTCTTTAGTCTCATTTTTGCAAATAATAACAAATGATCATTTAAAATAACAAACGATTATGATTACGAACTTTTATCTAGACTTTCTATCACTTTTAAATCTATCATATTTAACTATCTCTTGTCCCTTTCACCCTCTCTATTCCTCTATATTCTTGATCTATATATTATTCTCTCAAAACTAAACACTTTCACATACACACGACCACACACCAATTAAAAACTACGTGAACACGAAGTGATTTTTGAATTGATACAACATGGCACGTAAATTTAATTATATGCAAACTATATTCCGTGCTATAGTCGATAAGACTTAACTTATAAATAATAACAACAGTCGTGCGTTAAATGAAAACGAATTGTAGATGCAGCAAAACATAAAACAGAGACAAAAAAAAATACATATTTTTACGTAACAAACAGAAATAATATAAAAAAAACCATTGAGAAATGAAATTTTAAGCAAAGTTTTAGAAATTCAATATTTAATACATTCAGCACACACACACACAATCGCATGACGTAAAACATGAGATTAATTAGAGACAATTTATAATTAATTCAAAACAATTTTTGCTCAATCCGATTTCAATGATTTCCACTCAATTAACATACACTCACACAAAATGGAATTGCATATTTTCCAGTTAATAATAAAATAGTTTATATATATATATAGTTTATTTTGCATCAAACAAATTTTCAATCAATTTTGAATGTTCTTAATTGCTATCCCAAAACTCTTTTTTTTCATTATTTTGGTTACGTTATTTAACATTAAACTAAGAGAGATCATTTTCAAGTTCAACACACAACAAAAATAAATGAATAAAATAATGAACCCAAAATCACAGCAACAAACGAGAATCAACTTTATTTATTTTGGATATAGAATGATGAAATTATATAGATTAAATCCAAAAAAAAAATCATATATTAATCAATTATTCATAAGACAACAACAAACCAAATATTGTATGTGTGAATCAATATATAAAATAAAGATTATCATTTAAATTGAGAAAAGAAATAAAAAAAAACTAACATCGAATCGAGTGTTTTATTTTGTCATGAATAACAAATCTGTTTTCACCTTTGTTTTATTTTGATTCTCTCAAATTTGACGGTTAAACTGTCAGTTGGTGAGGAAAAATTATTTTTGTTTTAAACGCAAACACCAATTTACGTGGTGATTTACATAGAAATTCATTTCAAGTCCATTAGTTGCCATTATAATTTCGTTTCATTTGCCGATAATGATTTTTATGTGTCGAGAGTGTTCCAATCGACTAATGTTCAGAACAATTCAGCATCGATTAGCCAACACGATCCGATGTCATGCTGAGAATACCAAGAAAACGAATACACAAGGAATTCTGAGAAAATAGAACACGCATTTTTAGCATGATGAATTAATGCACAGAGACACATAACACCGAAAGAAATGCTATGGTATTTCAACGTGATAGAAATGGCTCCAAACTATAAATATCGATGATTTTTTCATCAGTAGAGAGAAGGTGATTGCTATTTTATTTGGTATTGAAAACGGTTTTTTTTTTGTACCACATATAGTGTATCGAAACAAAAGGCCAATTAATAAGAAATTTATTAGAATTAATATTTTTAAGTAATAGTTTAGGTTTTTATTAATTTAATCGGTTTTTTTAATGAATCGAATGATTCAACAGTGGACATATTATTCTCTTTACATATGCCATGATATATACGTACAAATACCAAAAAACGGTTGAATAAATTCTATATATATGCAGAATAGAAACCAAAGAGAAACTAAATATTCTTAAAAAAAACATCTTTTTGTACGAGAATTGGTAGCGACAACAACACTGACATGTAAACAATAAAGTGTGAGCGGTAACTTGGGTAACTTTAATCATTTATGCTCGTGCGCTACTCTAATTGAAAAGCGTATGAATTAGTAGTAGCAACTGACCGCATGGCTGTCTGAAATTCATAATCTTTCCATAGTTTTAGATTTTGTGCAAGAATTAATTTCTTTTTAAATTCGAAACCATGCGATACCAAGTTGATTCTAGATCAATAATCTAGAAAAAAAAATGTACAGTTCTATTTTGTTTTTACTTTGTATCTCCTTCTTCTCCTGACTCATATTAATCACCTGCCACTGATGCTGATGAACATCACAGTCACTTCGAAATGCATTCATTTATGGACGAATAAAATATGTATTTTATGTGACTGAAACTATCAAAATTTATTGCGTTTTTTCTTATCTTCAGCTGAATAAAGGAATAAGAACATACCATTCCATCAAACGCTTTGAGTATGCCATCGATAATAAAACTAAAAGATCGTGCATTTTGATCGTTTACAGTTTTTGATGTCAAGCGAATGTTCTTTTTTTTTCTCTGCTGTATTTTATTATGTATATTCGTTAAATTCAAATTCATTTTTGCCGAAAAATGCGATTTTGAAAATGGTATAAAAGCGAATTTTTTATAGCATCGTATTTAGTTGGTGAAATGATTTTGCTCCGCAAATTGTTCAATCATGCATTACTTCGGGAATTTAATATGTTGGTTAGTAGTTTTGTGCACATTTTTAGTTTCAGGTAAATTCAAGTGATAATTACTCTCGATTTGCGGTTTTGCGATTATATTTATATTTTTCGTACTTTTTTTTTGTATTTTAAAGCTGAAGAAGTGCAACAATTTGATAATGAGTCGTCAACCGTATTGATTGATGCAAAAAAATTGCTGAAATTTTCCCAAAAAGCGAATAAAAGCGATTGTGGCGAGAATGAAGAGTATCAAGAATGCGGCAAAAAGTGTGTGTTAAGCTGCCGATATCTTAGATCAACGCATGAAATAACACTGTCCAAAGATGATTGCGAAACATCAGAGTGTGTGAAAGGGTGCTTCTGCAAAAAAGAATTAGTGAGAAGTGGCGATAAATGTGTTTCAATTGCTGAGTGTTTGTTTGTTCAAAATCGATCGGACAGAGCGTTAAAGAATTCAACATTCGGTGAAACCATTAAAAGTTTCTCGGTGTGGAAACGTAAACCAGCACAACCATGTGCTGGTGCTGGATGTACACCCTCAAAAGGTCCGACAACTGTTCATATTCATAATCACAATCACATCAAAGTTGGTAAGCCGATCGTTTGAATGGTGTATCTTCTTTCGATTTGAAAATGCAACGGTTTTTTTCACTTGCAGTTGACGATGATTGTCAAGGTAACCATTGCAATGAATTTGGAGGTATGATTTTTTAAAAAAATATTTAATAATTTGAATGGAATAATATCCAAGCGAAAAATGGCAATCAGCTTCGACTAAAAAGAATATTGGTACGATCTATTCTCGTGTGTCGCTTGTGTGTATTGTGCTTAGCTATGCATAGCAACGTAAATAGAAGAGCGAGCATTTTATTTATACGGCCTTTTTCGTTTGAGACATTCACAGTGGAGCTGACTGCCTTTTTACAAATATCCAATGGATATTTGAAAAAAGGCAGTCAGCCCCACTGTGAATAAGAATCTGGAAGTAAAATTGTTCATGGAATGTTTAAAATGTTGTAGATGGAACCAGTGAAGATGGAAATAAAACGGTAATATAACTTTTCTTTGGTTATTTCAAAAATATTATGTGAAATATACTATCATTTCAAACTAAATAGGTTACAATTCGATGGGGTAGCGCCGAGTTTAATATCCCCCCAAATATCGTCTATAATATAACGATTCCTGGCATTGGATTGTTTACTGTTAGCACAAATGGTACAGTTCTTTTTTTAAATTACGGCATTCAATAATAATAACTGCACCGAACAGCGTTCCTTCGCCTTGGTGGTTTATTGAAAATAATTTAATTAAATAAGTATAATATAATACAATTTGATTTTTATCAAGCATTTTTGAGAGTGAATATGAAAAATTATTGTTTCTTTCCTTTCATGTAAATAATAATATAAATTTCATAAATCAATTCAAATTGATATATTTATCATTCCATTAATTAAGGCACAAACAGCACGACAACAGTTCAACAAACAATTAATGTTTCAAATAACTCACCCAACTCCGATACCACCACAACCTCCAAAACCCCCACCACAACCTCCACATCCATCACAACTACTCCGAGTACATCTGGAACCCCCACCACAACCTCCACATACACCACAACTACTCCGAGTACATCTGGCTCTTCCACAACGCAAAGTACCGAGTCTACTTCCTCCTCAGCGCAAAATACCACATCGACCTCCACATCAACGCAAAGTATCACATCTACCTCCTTATCAACGCAAAGTACCACATCTACCTCCTTATCAACGCAAAGTACCACATCTACCTCCTCATCAACGCAAAGTACCACATCTACCTCCTTATCAACGCAAAGTACCACATCTA